TTATCTGGTAATATCACACTACTAACTAGAGCATACAAAACATTTGCTAGACCAATACTCGAATACAGCTCATCAGCCTGGAAACCGCATTACATATCTGATATTAATACAATTGAGAAAATCCAGAAATATTTCCCAAGAAAAGTTCTCCACTCCTCTACTCATTGCAGAATACCTTATGCCACCAGACTTGAAATTTTAGACCTAGACAATCTAGAACTACGCCACCTTTGGTTCGATCTAAGTATAATACATAAAATTATATATTGCAACGTCCTACCTGTCAATGAATACTTCAGCTTCAACCATAACAATACAAGAGATAGATACAAACTCAAGGTTAACTGCACCAAACTTGATTGCAGGAAATACAACTTCAGCAACAGTGTGTGGTCAATGTCTGGAATCCTCTACCTGACTCTGTGGTTTCTTCCCCAAACCCCAAAAACTTTAATCTAAGACTGTCTACAATTGACCTCACCCCTTTCCTAAAAGGCCGGTAGGGGGCGTGCATAAGCAGACCAATGTGCCTACCGTCCCTGTCCTATTGTTTCTTTTATTTCTTATTCGTATCCATTTCATGTATTCATAACTATGTTTATACTTATACCTGTTATCTAATAATCGCTTCACAAAATAAATAAAAACTGTGTATATTCGTACAATGACAATAAAGTATTATTATTATTATAACTATTACTATTGACTACTTTTGGCAGAGCCAGGACCGTGCTGGTGCTTCCCTCCTGGTTGTGGCTTTTTAGCAATCGACCTTCTGGGCAGATGTAGCATTGGGGGACAGCCTTGTGATGGTTCTCTTTTCTCTGTGGCTGGTTCCACTTGGTATTGGGGGTGGGGGAGAAGGGGAGAGATGGATTTTTGGGATGCCTTGGGACCGATGCTGCCGTACCTCCTACTTAGCATGAAATCCCTGGGGAGACCATCAGCTACAGGTCATCTAACATCACAGGACACTGATGATAGTCAGTCGTTCACGTCAACCTTGACTGAGCAAGAGATGTTGCCCAAGTCCTGCCCCTTGACAGGAAGCCGTGAGGCCTGGATGGGGAGGTGCAGCCTCTGGGGTTACTCCCAGTGGTGGGATTCAAATTTTTTTACTACCAGTTCTGTGGGCGTGGCTTGGTGGGCATGGCAGAGGAAGGATATACTGCAAAATCCCCCTTCCCTCCCGACCCCACTAACCTGCTTTCCAGCTCCATTCTCCTGTGCAGGGCAACCAAAGGAGACCCAGCCAATCAGTTGGGAGTCAATGGGAGGCAGAGAAGAGATGGGGTTGGCAGGGCCAGTCAGAGGTGGGATTGGCCGGTTCTCCGAACTACTCAAAATTTCCACTACTGGTTTTCCAGAACTGGTCAGAACCTGCTGAATGCCACCTCTGGTCCCTCCCCATTCTTGGCCCTCCAGGTTGGACAGCCTTGTCTGGGGCTGTTGTGCAATCTGGCTGGACTCCCTGCTTCCACTCAAGGAGCCAGAAGGTCTTGGCACAGGTGCATCCATGGAGCCTCCATTCATGCCTTTTGGTTACCTCGTAAGTGCTGCAATGTGTGGTATGTGGAGCTGCCCTCGAAAACCTCTCGGAAGCTGCAGCTGGTGCAGAATCTGGGGCATGAGCAGTGATGGGCCTTCCATGGGAGCTGCATTAGTTGTCACCTGGCTTCAAGGCGCAGTTTGAGCTGCTCAACACAAAACACTTCATGGCTTCTGGACAGAGCTGAGAGACCCCCAACTCCTGTGCCAATCCTATGCACCTCAACAAAGGTGGCTAAGCATTATCACTCAGTGGGATCCCAGTGTTACGGTCCGCCGGCAGCCTGAGGAGCTGGCAGCAGAGTTGGACAGTGGGGAGAAACATGGGCCAGTCATGGGGTCTGGGGAGGATTCGGAATCTGCGCCTGACACAGTGATGGGGCCAAGGCCAGATTGGCCCCTCCCATAAGACACAAAGGAGGAGCAAAGGGACATGAGCCTTTGCAGGAAGCAACTTTGTTTGTTCTGGTTGGTTTAAAATCTGAAGCTCTGTGTTGACCTTGTGCTCCATTTGGCCTTGTACAGCTAATTGGCAATTTAGTTGTTGGCAGCATTTCCAGGGAGATAAAGGTGGGTGCTTATCAGCCTTATCCCGAAAGACTGTAGCAGACTTCTGTGGAACTATTCATAAACTGGGACTCATTACGGGCTGTGAATGCATATAATTCCCAGCCGTTGAAATAAAAACAAGGTTTTTGGGAAGAGCGTGTCATTGTTACTGTCTCAGGAAGCCTTGGTCAGAACACCCGGCCTTCTCCGTTGCTGCACCTGCCCTTTGGAAACCTGGGTCCCTCACCCTGCCCACTTCCAAGCTTTCGTTAAGCATGGCCTGTTCCCCAGGCCTTGGGTCGAGACAGGCCTCCTGGAGCCGGCAGAACTTCGCATATTGCTGGACTTCTGCCAGCAGCCTCAGGAGAACATAGATCCTCTCTTTGGATGTCTCTCGGCTAGCGAATCCATAAAAAGATGGAAGAACAGTGAGACCAAAAGGCTTCCTTCCTCCCCTTCCTCTTAATGCAGGGTTGTTGTTGTTGTTTTGGTTTTTTTTTTTGAAGGAAGGCAGCTATGCTGGCTGGGGAATTCTGGGAGTTGAAGTCCACAAGTCTTAAAGCCGCCCAGTTTGAAGGACCCTTGCCCAAAGGAGCTTGTGGCCTCGGGAGAGGGGGCGGGGGTTGCCATTGTTCAGAACGGCCGGTCAGGGCAGCCGCCTGCCTCTGCTTCCCGAAGGAGCGCGTGCCGGAACCACCCCGCGGGAGGCCAAGCCGCTTCCTTCCAGCGGGACTTGGCGCTCTGCACGTGCTCGGAGCCGCGCCTTATCTTTCGCCTCTTCTTCCTCCCTCCCCCGCACCCCCGCGGGCTCGCGCACAGCCCACTCGGGCGGCCGGCCCGCAGCCAGGGAGGGAGGCGGAGCGCGTGACGCGCCTTCGAGGAGCCCGCCCTCCTTCCGACGGATCTGGACTGGCTCCGCTTTCCCCCTCCGTCGCCGTCTTTGCCCACCTTCCGAATGGACCCCCCGGTGAAGTCGGGGCCGCTGCTGCTCCAGCAACCGCCGGGGTTGCTCCTGGGGGCCAAGGTAGCCGCGTCAAGGCGGGTGGTGGGTGGGTGCCGGGCTCCCGCGCGTCTTTCTCGTGGCCTCGCCCTCTGCCCTTCCCGTGCAGCCAGGCGGGGTGGAGGGGTGGCGGGGTGAGGAAGGGCCGGTCCTTTGCCCGGCAGCCGCCTTCGTTCCCGCCGTGCGGGGCTGGGTACGGGTGGTGGTGGTGGTGGAGAAGCGCTTCTCCTTCTTGGACGGGCGCTGCCCTCGGCTCAGAGACGCGTCCAGCCCAGGACCCTTCCGCTTGTTGGGGAGGAAGCCGGGCGGGCTCGCACTTCCTGGTTTCTTGGGACAGCGGCGGGAGGCAGACGGAGCCAGGCTTTCGCCCCGCCGGGGTCCAGTCCCGTCCCCCGGGTGCCCTTTGGGCAGAACTGCTGCACTCGGAGAAGGCGTTGCTCCCAAGGCCCTTCAGCTGGGGGGGCGAACCCCAACCCGCCTGTAGTGGTTTTTCGGCCTTTTGTGGACGGAGGGGGGTGGGGAGGTAGAAAAAAAAACCTCCACCCCTGACTCTTGGGCTGAACCTATTTCGTGTATTGGGATGCTACCTGTAGAGCAGAGGTCCCCAAACTTGGCCACTTTAAGACTTGTGGACTTCAGCTCCCAGAATTCCTCAGCACGCACAACACCCATGCTATCTGAGGAATTCTGGGAGTTGAAGTCCACAAGTCTTAAAGTGGCCACAAATTTGGGGACCCCTGCTGTAGAGCTTCGCGCGCACATCGGGCTCTTCAAACTTCTGCAGAACCAGCTATGCTGGCTGGAGAATTCTGGGAGTTGAAGTCCAGAAGTCTTAAAGTCCCCACAAGTTTGGGGACCCCTGCTGTAGAGCTTCGCGCGCACATCGGGCTCTTCAAACTTCTGCAGAACCAGCTATGGCGGCTGGAGAATTCTGGGAGTTGAAGTCCAGAAGTCTTAAAGTTGCCACAAGTTTGGGGATCCATGCTGTAGAGTTCATGCGCACATAGGGCTCTTCAAACTTTTGCAGAACTTCTGCAAACTTCTGTGTGGGGTGTGTGTGTGTGTGTTCCTAGCAGGCCGAGGGGTGGTGCAAAAAACCCCAAAACACGTTTTCTCAAAGGCAGCCACTTATCTATCGCTAGAGCTTTGCCTCTTGATCCAGGGCTCCTTGAATTTTTCTTCAGCTGTCTTGTGGGTTCAACTTGTCAACGTTTGAAAACTGCTGGTGTACCCAGGGGATCCATGCTACAAGTATTGCCCTTTATTAAAACAGTGCAGAGTATAAGAGAAAAACTACCCCCTCCCCCTCTTTTTAATGCTGGCAACGCTGAGGGTCCAAAGATCTTCCTGAATGCAGGCCATTAATCTCACCCCTGGACAGGAGTGTGTGTTCTGTCTTGCATGTGGGAAACCCAGTTCAGGCTGCAGAACGGAAGGAAGAAAGCAGCTTTCTGCCTTTCCGGTCCAGAGGTTAATTCTGAAAGGAGGAAGCGGCAGCAGCCAGCTCTGGCGTGGGTGGAGGGGCGGGGGGGGGGGGGGGGGGCTTGCAAAGGCGCGCAGTAGGAAGCAGGGCTGCTGGTGGCTGCTTTGCCCATTTACGGCTCTTGTATCTCTATTGTCACCCTTTGGCCTTCCTTACCAGGTTGGTGCTCAGTCACTGCCTCCCTTTCTGATGCCCCAGAGGTGAAGATGGATTACTGAGCTAGTTAACTTTTCATCTTTGGATAGAATAGAATTCTTTTATTGGCCAAGTGTGATTGGACACACAAGGAATTTGTCTT